CACAGCTGGGTGGTGCCATGCAATGTGAGCAAAATAAATTTTGCTCACATTGCATGGCTGGAAAATATGGTTGTTAACTCTTGTATTTTTAATTTTGAAAACTTTAAAAATAAAATTGGCATACAGGACCCCAGCCACCTCCAACCCAAACAGAGCTACACCCAGGCGTATAATAATCAAAATTCCAGAAATCCAGTATAAGAACAGAATATTAAAAGCCGTCAGAGACAAGAAACAGATCACTTACAAGGGAACACACATCAGAATTACAGCAGACTTCTCGGCACAAACCATCAAATCACGAAGAGCGTGGAGGGAAATAATTCAAGCTTTGAAAGATAATAACCTCCAGCCAAGTATCCTTCACAACTGTCCCTAGAAATTGATGGAAAAACAAGGTGCTTCCAGGATTAGGAGGAACTAGGGGAATTTGCAACCACCAGTTCAACTCTACAGAGAATACTGCACGGTATTCTAAAAAAGGAAAACACCAAGATTCCAGAAATAGTGGCAGAGAGGCCACAATGAATGGAGCAGAAAGCGAAATGAAGAAGACAAACAGACAACTAATGACAGAAAAAGAGCTCAACAGATATGAGGCAGAGAAGGTTAGATGGTAGGAACAACTATTTTGGAGAAAACAAGACATCAAAATAGCTAGTGCTGATTTAATATCATCTTGTTTTGCAGTCCCATCAAGCTTTTGTTCTTCTGTCTCCATCAGTCTTAACATGTTGTATCTTATTGGATTTTATTATATGTGATAATATAAACAAAAACTTTTATAGACAAGGAGATTATACAGAAACCACTGTTCATTTTCTGTTAGTTGATTTTAAATGCCCTGTAATACTGTCATTCCCTTGAATGGTTTTACATTGTCTTGATATGTTTGATGCTACAGTATACAAAGGTGCTGTTTTGTTGTTATGCCCTCTTTTGTCTCAGTCTCCTTTTTTATTATTTACTTTTTAATTTTTATCCTTTTAATTAAAGTAAAAATAAATAAAAATAGCAGGATATATTATAGTAAGCCAGTTTGATTCTATTAACTTGATTTGAAACCCTGTATTGCTCTCACCATCTTGTTTTGACTTATTTTCCTCTATTCTGTTTTGCTTGATAGTACCAAGTTTGAAAATATAGGCAACAACTCTGAAGACAATAAGATTCATTATGACGCCCATTCTGGTTGACTATTATCTTCTTTTGAAGTCCTCTAATGTCTCCAATATTTTGGTTTTATTGGTTTTGTTCTGTACTGTTTTGTTCAATTTTATTATAACTGATGACATAGGCAAATCTTTTTAAGATAGCAAGAGGCATTATGGTAACCATTGTTGGTCACCTTATATTTTGTTTATACATTATATATTATGTCCATCCTTTTGATTTGACTGACTCTGTTCTGTTATATCACATTTGGTTTTACCCTCTTCAAAAAAAAGTAGTAAGAACTGTGGGAGTAATAAAACCCAAAATGTGTAATTGTCACTGTACAAAAGAGAGAAAAAGAAAATGCTCTAAAGGATATAAATGCATGTATATTTAAGTGTATAAGATAGATAACCATATTACTGAGTTTTGTTGGATCATTGAACAGAACTGTTTGCAGTCTCACTGTTTGAATGTCCACTTTATATGCTTTAATTTTGTAACTTGAACAACTATTTCTAAGATGACAATATGTAATCTATTAACTAGTGATTTCTTACTGTTTATTTTTTCTGAAATTATATATAACTTGTACCCTTTTTCTGTTTTTTTCTTTTTCTCCTTAAATAAAATTTAAAAAAAATTGAATTAGTAGTACAATGAGCATCTTTATTTAGGTCACCAATCATTAGTATTTTACCATATTTGCTAATAAATTCCTTTCTTAGTAAAGAACTTCCTATTATTTGGGAACCATATGAGAGTGGCTCTAGGAATAATGATACTTCAGCTATAAATATATATTGATCACGAAAGATATTATGTTGAGAACAAAGATTCCTTCTTATATGAACACAATATTATTATATCTGTGAAATTTAATATTGATACATTATTTAGGAAATAGCTCGTATTCAAATTTCTGTCACACATACTTTTTGAGACAGGGTTTCACTATGTAGTTTAGGCTGGCCTTGCATTCACTTTGTAGCCCCACTCACATGATCCTCCTGCCTCAGTCTCCTGAGGGCTGGGATACAGGTGTGTGCCACCTACACATATATCTTTTAAAATGTCTCTTGTTTTCTGAGCTGAGATCCTGGTATGGGTCATACACTCTTATTAGTTGTGTGTCTCTTTAGTTCTTTTAATTTAGAAGAATCTCTGATATGTTCTTTCAGAAAACTGATATTTTTCAAAGGTTAAGGCCAGTTAGGATTTCATAGAATGTCTCAGTTTCTGGTTATATCTAATTTCACAATCCTTTAGTTTAAAGTTATATATTTATGGTAAAAATACAACAGAGAGGATTTCATTTATTGTTACTATTATTATTAGTGATACTAGTGATTAAATCAAGGGCTTTTGCATTATACTACATCCCTGACCCTTAATTTTTTTTAATTTTGAGATAAAATCTTGCTGAACTGATAAACTGCCTAGGCTGGGCTCAAATTTGTAATCCTCCTGCCTTAGCTTCCCAGAGTGCTGGTATTATAGGCATAATGTCAGTCTTAGTCTCCTTTTTCTCATTGCTGAGACAAAATACCCAACATCCAAAGTTGAAAGAGGAAAGATTTACTTAGCTCACAGTTTGTAGAGGTTTCAGCCCTTAATTATCTGGCTCCAAGGTAGGGTAGCTTGGCAGAGAACAGTCATGGTGGGCAGAAAGAGGAAAGCAACAAGCAGGTGAGACAAGACTCTTTCTGTCCTTTATGTGTTGTATCTAGACTGCTGGGGTCAGGCGCTGCCAAACCAATCAGTGGACTGATCTATCAATCACACACCCTTAATCTCAGCATCAGACACTTTAGATGCAGCAATCTCTGAAAAAGCCTAAGACTACATGAGGCTTCAGGGGGACATCTAGACACAAACCATAACACCATGCTGGGCTGAGGGGATGTCACAACCAGCAGGTACAAATATGTCAGATTCTCCCATTTTGGGTAATGATAAATTCATCTACTTTGTTAAGGTGGTAGCCATTATGTTTTAAATCACTGGGACAATATGCCTGACATAGTCAAGTTTTAAGGAGGAAACGTTTATTTTGGTTCATGATTTTAGAGGTTTCTGTCTGTGGTCACTTAGTCCCATTGCTCTGGGCACAATACATCATGGTGGGAATGTGTAGCAGAGGAAGTCTATTCACTGTAAGGTAGAACAGAAGAAAAAAAGGTAGAAAGGAGCCAGATTGTAACTGTAAGGAAACTATAATTTTGAGGACGTTGTAGCTTGGAGAAAACTGTAGCTTGAAGCCACAATCAAAGTTATTCAAGGTTACTGCTGTTTTTCTCCCAGGATCCTACATTCCAAAGCATCTAAAAGATACCATGATTCTATAAACATGGGCCATGTTTATAAATTAAATTCAAAAGAATCCCATTCTCAGAAAATGGTATTATTATTTCACTACCATATCCTTAAAGTTCAAACAGATACAAACTTTTTACATTTTAGCCTATTTGATAAAGTTAGTTTTCATTGTAGCTCACCAATCGGCAACCTGACCTTAAGGAACAGACACCAGGGAATGATTAATAACTAAAAAAATAAATATTCTTGATCATTCATCTGAGAATAAGCAAGACCATATAAATACGGTCTCTCCACCTCCCAATAGTGCTGCATGCCAGGAATAAGTCTTCCATAGAAGGGCCTTTGGGGGACATTTGAGGTCGAAATACTACCACACTAGATTGCTGTCCTGAAAAGGTTCATTTATCCTTTTTTTCTTCAGGAACTGGTGAGTTGTTACTCAGAGACAAGAGTGATAACTTGATTCCTAACAAACTTTCTTAATTCTAGCCTGGTAAAATGTAGAGTGAATGAAATCTAAGCTCGGCCACTTACATTTCTCACTTTCAAAGCAAAAACCCAGACACCTCTATGCCCCTTGGTGAATGTAAAATCTTGACCAAGGAGACACAGAAATGTCTTCCAGGTTGAGGAGGCGATGGTACAGTGTCTTAGGCTGCACTTCCACCTGCTGGCAGCGGATTCCATAGCAACTCAAGGACAGGATTGGGATGGGGAGGAGGGTCTTGGGCTCAGTCTGGAAGCCTGCACTGCTCCAATACAGCCACAGTATCAACCAACTTTGAGTAAAAACATTTCCAGATTTTACTTACAGAATGCTTACTTGGCATTAACGATAGCATCCTGGCACGACAAAGGAACTGGACATCACTGAAGTTTTTGCAAGGCATCTGTCCTTCCATTCATCCACCCATCTAGTCTACAAATACTGAGGTTTGAGGTTCTTGGGATACACCAGTGGACAACAGACAAAAAATCCGCCCCGAAAGGCCTTTCATTGTGATCTCTGCACTTTATAGATACCGTATAAATCAATGCAGGTAAATTAAAACGTGCTTTGCAAAGTACAGTTTCCTCCAGTGTCAACAGGTCCACAAAACAGCTAATTAAATGAAAAATCCAAAGCACATCGGCCCTGGCCGGCATGTCTGCAAAACTGAGTTAAACACGACCTAGGTATCTAGGGTATAGCCAGCCAGACCGACCAAAAAGCTCCAATGAACTGTCTTCCCCCAAGTTTTTTCCCCAAACATGCTCTCTGCAGAAAGCAAGGGTTTCGCCCAGTCTGTGGGGGTGCAGAGAGAGGGAGATCCGCCGCTGTAAAGAAGACACTTGCTCCATTACAGATCCCACGAGGTGGCTGCGCGACACCCGTTCCCGCAGGCCCCGCACCTCTGAGTCACCCCATCGCCCTGCGTCCTAAACCAGGGACAAATCCTCCGCGCAGCCCGTCCGCACCCCCCACCGGCGGCGCGCAGCCCAGCCATAGCGCCCGGAATGGAATTGTCTTACGGAACTTCCGGCACGCGCTCCCGGTTTCCGGGGGAAGCGGACAGGGAAGGATTTGAGTGCTGCGCTTTCCGTGGCCGCCGTAGAGGTGATGGCGTCTGCTTTTCGGGGTCTGCGGCTTTGGCGGCTCGCCCCAAGCGGTTGGGCCAACTGGAGTGAGTTTTTGCGGGCTGTGGGGACCCGTAGAGGGCGGTGTCTGCCCAGATTGGGCCTGGCGGGTGTCTGAGAGGTCCGCTAGGTCCAGGAAAGAGGAGTGTGTTCTGTCCCACCGTGGCTGTCGCCCTTTTGCGGTCTCAGAAGACAACTTTGGGGGCTGGAGGGGTCTGGGGAAGCACTGGAAGCTGCCTGGGGCGGAGGTTGGGCTGCCCTCAGAGGCGTCCACGTCTCCCTGAAAAGTGTCTTAATCTTCTCACAGGGACATTCGTACCTGCCTTGTCAGATCTCCTGATTTGGGGATGGGGGATAGGGTAGAGGGAAGAAAATTAAGGCTTGCTGTGCACACGTACAACTCCCCACGGTGACTGTAATTATTTGGTATTGGAGACACAGTTTAAGTATTGGAGACACGTACTAATCAACGTAATCAACGTAAAGAGTTATTTTTAAAAACACAGTTTTTTCAGTCTTTATGTTTAACTTCTCTACAGGATGTATAGCAACTTCACCAGCTGCTCAGCTGTCATTGACTGAAATGACAGAAATGCGGAACCATCTGTTTAATAAAGAGAAAAAAAGGCAGTTATCATTAACTCCTCGAACTGAGAAGATTGAAGTTAAACATGTTGGGAAAACTGACCCCGGCGCTGTCTTTGTGATGAATAAAAACATTTCAACTCCTTATAGTTGTGCCATGCGTAAGTAACAGTATCAGGATAAAATCTAGACCATTTTTAGAGGGGCTGTGTGGCAGAATTGGTGAGAGAGGAGAGCTGTAATTGCTCCCCCAACTTCTCAGTTCTCTTTTCTGTTATCTGCTCACTATTCCTTTACTTCTGGAGGCTACTGTGGTTTACTGTGGTTATTACAAGGTTGGCATGTAGTGCTCGGGGTGTCTTGGGCCTTACTGGAATCTGGCTGGATTTTTTTTCTTCTTTTTCTTTTTTTTTTTTTTTTGGCACCAGGGATTAAACTCATGACCAGGTAGGCACTTGTGCTGCTTAGCTGTATCCGAGGCCCCCTGGCTGTGTTTAGAGTCACAGTGTTTTCAAGTTGGATGTGCTGGCACATTTCTATAATCTCAGCACTCAGGAAGCTGAGGCAGGAGGATTGCCACGAGTTTGAGACCAGCCTGGGCTACATAAGCAAGTTTAAGCCTCACTACATAGTGAGACTATCTTAAAACAAAACAAAAAAAAACCAAACTTTTTTTTTCAACTGAAAGGCCAGACTTGAATACATCGTTACTGGTGGACTTGACCTTTTTTGATATAGCTGGAGTAGTCACCATACAGGTTTTTGAACACCTTCATGATTAGGGCCATATATGCATGACTGTCCCATCACTTGGCTTATGCCACCCACTTGGACTGTCCTGTGCTGCCTGATGGGACAGTCATGCAGGTATCCCATGGTTCAAGCCAGTGGGAATGCGTTAAAGGATTTAACAAAAAAGGACTGCCATATCCTCAGATAACCAGGGTTTTTTTGTTTTTGTTTTTGTTTCTTTGCACCACCTTTTCCTTTCTAGCTCTTCATAGCCTGCTAATTTTTTCTCTGCTGGCCACTTCCTTCTTTGTGCGCTGTGTTTTTGTTTGCCTTAATATGTAAAATATAGTGAATATGTGGGTGGAGATGTGATTGACATGAATGTGACTGAGGTAAAAAGACTTGTTTATATCTTAAGAACCATAATTATGTCCTGTGTGTGTTTTGGTGTGAAAATGAAAAAGAGTCTATACATACTGATCAAAGAATTTGGATGAAGCTTTGATAGAAAGGATAATATTTAAATTAGAAAAATCCCCCAAATGTACATCATGACTAGCTGCTTTATTTAAACTTTTGAAAAGCTTAGTAATGATTTATTTATTCAACATCTTTAACCACTTGAAGGTTAAGAGTGTGTGCCTTCTCACTTTTCTACTTTGGCACTTGTTAATACATATGGTTGTTATTTATTTGATTTTTAAATATTTCTTAAACCTCTTGTAAGTGATAAGTATACAAGAGAAACTTCAGGGTATTATCAGCATCAAGCATTATACATGTTATATGTGGAGATGAAGTTTCTGGGATGCCTTCAGCATGACCTTTCCATGTCATGCATACCTCCAGTCATTCAGTAAAATTTATCTAGCACCTATTATACTCTAGGCCTGGTGCTAGGCTCTGGGAATACTAAGGAGTGAGCAAAAGTAGACAGGATCACACCTGTATGGAATTTACATAGTGGCTAGTAATTTAGACATTTGTTTGAGATTTTTATATCTGTGAACTTGCAGTACATCAGGGTTAGAGTTGTATTGTAGGGCCATCGAGCAGAGCAGAGCTAATTGACTTTATATGCATTTGTATTCTGAATTAAAAAATGGTAGCCATAATGTTTGACTTAAATCCATGTCATGAAAGTAAAATGGTTTGGGAATAAAACTCTAAACAATTTAGATTTATGTGGTGCATATTAATATATTTTTCCTTTTCTTCTGAGTTTTGCATCTATCTATCCAAATATATCCATGTTATTGCTCTCCAAATATTTAAGTATAGCTCTTAGAAGATAGTTTTATTAATAAATGACAAATTGATTTGAATCAAAGTTACCCATTAAGGGTAAGCTTTATAAATGGTTTGAGTAATTTTGTTCATAATCAATAATACCTTGAGTGTGTTAAGTATTTTTTATTGTAACACTTTTCTGCTGTGAAAGACAATTTCCACAATTTTGCTTTTTTTTATTATTTTACTTCCAAATGAAGCATTGTTTAAATTTTTACTTTGGGTTTTGTTAGATGTAGATCATCAATCAATTTTAAATTTCTAGATTTAAGTGAATGGTACTGCAGGAAGTCTATTCTGGCTCTTGTGGACGGACAGCCTTGGGACATGTATAAGCCTTTGACCAAGTCTTGTGAAATTAAATTTCTTACATTCAAAGATCGTGACCCAACAGAAGTGAATAAGGTATTTATCTCTACATTCTAACTCTCAATTTCTACTTGGTTTTAGTAAAGCCTATTTTGTAAGTAGTACAACATATAAAAATATGGTGAAGATCGTATGTTGCACTGTCTTAGATAGGCAATTTATTTAGAAGATACCATAGTTCACAAGACACCAGTGGCATCTCCTTCTGTATTTGGGATTGAAGCAACTATATGACATATCTTTTATCTTCATAACTTTGGTCATATTACATTTATTGATAATCCCCTCTATATGGCTGATGATTCCATTCCTACTTAGTACTACTACTTGAACTATCTTCTGTGGATGATTTCAATAACTTTGAGAAGTTCTTTTCTGCACCCTCCCATCCATTTTTCATTAAGAGTTTTATTAAGTCACTTGAAAGCACTGTGTTACCCCTAAATACCTTGCCTGCCTGACGATGTTCACATAGACTTATGGGTCCTGGGTAGTGTACCCTGGCCTGCCTTCTTAGCTGTGTGCCGCCCCCAGCCTTTTCTCTTCACCACAGTCCCTGGATGTTAGTGGATTGTGCGACACTGCCTCCTTGCTCTTCTGTCACTGAATGTTTTCTTTCCCTTCCTAAAATCTGTTTGTCATCTATCCCTCAGTTAAAATGCCATCTGCTCATGCCTCCTGATAGGTTTTTTCCTGTCAGAATTGTTTCAGAATCTGGCAACACTTGGCTACTGTCTCTAGGTAGGGTGTTTAATTTTGTGTTGTGATGTAACTTGCTGAAGGTGTTACATTCTTGGTTCTGTGAAGATAGTGGCTATTTCCTTATTGGATCTAGTACTCCATTTACATACTGTAGGTGTTTAGTAAATTTTTGTTGTAAGGAAATACTTAATAAAATGATGTAAATGATAATAGTAACAGGTAGCATTTAGTAATTATTTGTCAGACACTGTTCTAGGTGACTTACATAGGGAAGTATTAACTTAATCTTTATACCAACTCTCCAGAGTAGTTGCTGTTCTCCCTAATTTTGTTATAAAAAACTGATAGAGGTTCCACAGCTTGGCTGAGGTTACTAGTGTAGGTTAGGAAGTGGTGGAGCCTTAATTTGAACGAAGGTGCCCTGACTTATGTGAAACATTTAAAAATATTTAATTAAGTAGGATGGATGAAGTATATTTTGCTCCTTGTCTTTGAGGCCTAGGTTTATACTATATAAATATAATATGATTTTACAGAATACATAATGGAGCAGTCTCTGCCATATACAACCAAGTGACCCCACTTTTGTAGTCCTTAGATGAGGAAAGCATCTTAGAAAGTCAAGCACTTAGAATAGTGACTGTCAGGGAAATAAGACGGTCAGGTATGGTATAGATCATGTTTCTCCTTCTGACTCTGAGAAAGTCAATTCGTGGACACTTCTATTAGCCATCAAAATGTGCTAGGAAAATGAAAGCCCTGTAGGTAAAGAGGCTGCTTTGAGTAACTTGAGTGATGTTGGGTATGGATAGAGTCATAAATAATTCTTAAAAGTTTTCTTCACTGTATTTATAAATAGTGTATAAATAAATATTAATGTATCTAGTTTAGTGCAAGTTTTCTTAAAAATTTAACTTTATCCTGGGTTAAAAATCAGTATCATCAGATAGTAAAGCTACCTATTTGTTGATTTGCATTATAAGGCCTGATAGATCATAAAAATGTTGCTAACAACTGATCCATTATTTGCTGTTTTTTGTTGGATGGAGATAATATCAGGACTTGATAGTGACACTTGTTACATGCTGAGCATAGACAGATATTTGAGAAATATTACCTAAGCTAAAAGTTGACTTAATATTGCAGAAACTTCAGCAAATCTTAGAGTGTGTTGTGTTTGTGTGTATTTTTTTTTTTCCTCCAGGCTTACTGGCGTTCTTGTGCCATGATGATGGGCTGTGTAATAGAGAGGGCATTCAAAGACGAGTATATGGTCAGTTTGGTCAGAGCTCCAGAGGTACCTGGTAAGGTACATAGAGAAATAGAGATTCTTTTAGATACCTAATTATGATATAAAGGATTCATCTCTAATTTTATCTAATATAAATTACCATTATATATGTTCCATTTATTATAGGTAACACAATATCCTATTATAATAAAATAATGAAGTAGTTTTTAGAAGTCAATAATAAAATTAGTGGAAAATACTTCTTTAAATATGAATTTCAGCTGGGCATGGTGGCATATACCTGTAATCCCATTGAGACAGGAGGATTGTTGTGAATTTGGGGCCTATGCTACATAGTGAGTTTAAGGCCAGCCTGGATTACAGAGTGAGATCCTGTCTCAAAAAACCAAACCAAAAAAAAAAAAAAAGAATTTCATGGATTATACTGTCACAGTGTTCATTCTTTACCATTTTAAATCTTTTAATTCTAAATTGGACATGTGAGAAGGAAATGGACCCCTAAGTACCCTGCTGGGAGGAACTGTGCTGAGTTCTGTTCACCAGAAATGCCCATGATTCTGAAGAGGGGCACTGCTTTGAAGGGGTAGAAATATACTGATTTCTTAATTTTGTTAAGCTACAGTTTCTCATCATTATGTGTAGTAGGATCATGTGTAATTTTTTTAGAAAAAGTGTATATACCAGAAATATTTGAAAGATGCTCAAGAAATGAGTTGTTTGTTTTCCAGTACTAGGGATTGAACCTTTGCAATTAGCCACGTCTCCTCTCCCCTTTTTAATGTTTTATTTTGAGACAGGGTCTTGCTAAGTGACTTAAGTTGCCCAAGCTGGGCTTGAATTTGGGATCCTCTTGCCTCAGCCTTCAGAGTGCCGGGATTATAAGCATGTACTACCATACCTGGCTCAAGTAACGTTTTTTTAAAAAGAAGATACCTAGAAGATATCATAAAAGAAAATCATCATTTCATGTCTACTTAGTCATTCATCTACTAAATATCTTGTTTTAAAAATTTTATATCTAATGTCTGTTTGAAATCCCTGTAGTGATAATATTTCTGAAGGGGAGAAAATGATTTTAAGAAAAATGGGATTAATAAGAGATCAGTTAATTTGGGTAAAGGAAATTTGATAGTCCTATGGTAAGCTGCAGGAGCAACAAATTTATAGTTTGTAACGTTAGGAGAGATTGCTGACTTTTGATTTTATGGTTTAAATGTTGAGTTGTTGCAAATGAATAGCTTTCTGCTCTAAAAGATTTGACTGCTTTTTATTTTGGTTGGAATTGCAGTGATCGCTGGAGCCTTCTGCTATGATGTAGTTTTGGATAAGAGACTGGATGAGTGGATTCCAACAAAAGTAAGTAAAATATTTAGAGTCTGACCTTTCTCTGTGACAGTGATCCCTGTTACTGTTGTTGAATTATGCTTTGAGGAACCTAAAAGAGTCTATGCACCTATCTTTCCGCCATTGCTTTTTTGGCGTATATATTTAAGATAGACTCACAAGTGAGGGTATTCACAACACCACAGTCTGATGATGTCTTGCAGCTTTTATGTCCTGTTTGACTTTTTCTTGAAATGCCAACTATTTTGTAAGGTAGTGGTTTTCAAAATGCTCAGAGTTTAACTCTGATGTGGTGATAGAGGGATTAGATCCATACTTATTTGAATCCCCAGAGCACGGTTTGAAAAACACCACCTTAAAATTTTTTTAGTGTGTTACATGCTCTGAGATCCCTGTGTGCAAAACAAGGGTTATACTGAGAGGAGATGACTTAAAGAATAAACTTGAAAAACTAACACAAATGGCAACAAAATAAACTCTTTGAGAGTGGTCTGCCTTCTTGATTAAAGTGCTTATTACTGGTCTGGGACTTGGTTGGCAAAATTGCCAGGCTACCAAGGACAGTCCACTTGAGTTGTCCAGTAGGTCAGGATTAGCAGAGGCTGAGCTTGGAGGCTTGATTTTGATTGGGGAGAACTCCATGCATTGGGTAGGTGACAGAGAAAGTAGGGAAGCGTTACACTGAAGAATGGTTGTGTTAGCCACAAATAGATTTTTGAAGTATTATGTTAGCCCATTAAGAGTGGGAAAGTCATTTCATATGAAATATCTAACGAGAAGCTTATGGAATTTTATTATAAAAATTATTTATATAATGGTACTTGACCTTTTTTATATTAGTTGCTAGCAACTGATCCATTTATAATATGAAATATTATAATATGATTTATAATATGAAATTGAATATAGACTTTTATTTAAAGTCTCATCTGCATAATTGTAATTGTGTAAAATTGACATTTGCATTAAACAAATTTATATGAACATATGTTTTATTTTGTACAAGAGCAGTGATGATACAGCATTGCTAGCGAAACATTTTTAGTTATGAAAACAATTTTATTCTCCTTTCATTTAATAAACTTTGTTGTAGTCATAGGGTAAACACATTTTTATGTTTTGCTGTTTACTAGCATTTTGATTTGTTATACTTTTAATAAATGTAAGCCTATATAATTTGGATGAAATGTTTCATTAAAGTTTACTTGTAGGCTTATCTGTACTAATTTTTTTTTTCCAGACAGGGTCTCACTCTGTAGTGCAGACTGGCCTGAACTTGCTTACGTACCCTAGGCTGTCCTTGAGCTCATGGTGATCCTCCTGCCTTAGCCTCCTGAGTGCTGGGATTGTAGGTGTTGCACTGCCTTTCTCAGCTGTAATAATTATTACTAATGCAGAATAATAATTTTTTTTAACACATTACTGAGGATTCGGCTTTTGTCTTTGCACTGAACTACATCTGCAGCCCTTTCAAAAACTGTTAAGTAGCCGGGGATTTAGCTCACCAGCACAAGTACCTGCCTACCATGCACGAGGTTGAGAGTTTGATCCTTGGTACAAAAAAAAAAGTTTTTAAAATTAAGAGGCAGATAATATTTCAATTATAGTTAAATTATAAGTTTTATGGCTTATAAAGTTGAAGATGTATGTTGTCTAAATATTCATTCATTGCAAATTAGTAACTTACTCTCCCAACAAATTTGCTTTTTGCCTTTTTGTTGGATTCACAGTACTAAGCCTACATTTTATCTGACTTACAGAGATGTGGTAAATCACTAAAGGTTAATATTTTATTTTTAAGGAGAACCTACGTTCCTTCACAAAAGATGCTCATGCTTTAATTTACAAAGATCTGCCATTTGAAACTCTGGAAGTTGAAGCAAAAGTAGCATTAGAAATATTTCAACACAACAAGTAAGTTAATTTAAAGCAAGCTTTAATCTTCCAGTATTATATCTAATGACAAAAACTTAACTTTTTAGGATTTTTGCATTTGAGGTACATATGACACCATTTTGTTTCTGTTCTGAGATCTCTTTCTGCACCAGCCTGCTTTGTTTATCTTATTGTTGATTTTACTGTGAAAAATGTTCCCCCCTGTTTGGCAAGCATGAGGTCATGAGTTCAGTCCCTGGAACTAAAACGAAAAAAAAAAAATGTTCCCTTCACAGTCCGCAGTTTCCTCACTTTGACTTCTCTGTTTCCTAGGCCAAGCCTTCTCTTTATATCAGCATAGTAGTATGCTTCCCTTCTTATTATCTACTACAAAGCCATAACATGTTAGAAATTGTTGGATTTTGCTTCTTTGGCAACCTTTCTCTCCCATTCATCCGCTCTTAACTGAAAAAGGCAAGATTGAAAATGCAAGTTGGGAAGGGAGTTGACAGCAGAGAAAAATGTTTGCATGGTTAAGTATTAGTGTTCTGCATATAAATTATCTGTTTGATGGCTTTGTCTTTGTCAGCATTTTAAATCCTGTCTGGCTTCTCAATTCTCTTTTCTAATCAGAGAGCTTCTAGTTCATCTTCTTACTAGATATAAGAATATAAACTGAATTTTAATATTAATCTAATAGAAAATTATTACTAATTAGAGACAGGTACTGTGGTCTAAAGGCAAAATACATACCTGTAAATTATTAAAGATTATGTATTAGAATTTCTTTTAGGTATATAGAAGTTGAATTATAGATAGAGATAGTTTCATAGGGATAGTCATAAATATGTTCTTGAATTAGTTCATGGAGTTTCCTCAGCTCATATACTTGCCTGGCATTTCTCAAAAGGAGTATGACTCATCATATTCTTTTGTAAGACAATTATTTACATGCTGAAAAAAGTACATTGTATTCAGCTGAATTTGGAGAAGAGTTGGAAAGATTTACTCACTGAATTCTAGGGTATGTCACTGCATTTGTCAGTATATCCTGGAAGCAGCGCACTAAGAAATGAGCAGAAATAAATCACTGTAACTATGTAGCTAGTGCTGGAGAATCAAACCACCATTTACAGCATTTACTTAAAAATATACCTTGGATTATCAACACATCAAATCACTTTCTGACAAAAGTCTTGGTATATGCTGTCCAACAGAAATATATAAGCTGTGAATATAATTTTAAAATGTGTAGTACTGCTTTTAAAAAGTCAAAAGAATAGGTATAATTAATTGTAATAATTTTATTTAACCAATTTAATCAATATATTTAAAATTTCAACATATGATCAATATTAAAAATTACTGATGCTAGCTTATATTCTTTTTCATACTAAGTCCTCAGAATCTAGTAGGTATTTTATAGTTAAGGCATATTTTAATTACGAAGTACGTTTAAGTATTATATTAGTACATTAAATGTACTAAGCACATTTAAGTGCTGTATGCGGTTATATTACTAAACAGTATTATACTTCCATTGTCTGTGTTGAGATTTCACTTTCCTCCATCTAAGTATTCAAGCCTGGTGGGGACTTCTGGGATACTGACAAATTTAGCTGGCACAGGGCAGGATGCAGAAGGCAGTTTTGGGATGTTTGAGAGGATGGAAGAGTATTGGACTGTGGTGGTGAATTATTGATTGAAACTTTCTGCCTCAGATGGAACCAGAGGCCGATCAAAAGGGACAGTATTGAAGGGAATTGGCCCCCTATGTCATGCATGGGGGCTGTGGCAGAAGAGAGATGATGTCAGTGGATGGTTTTGCATAAACCAGTGCTTCCTATCTGTGCCATGCCATTGTGCTCCCACAGATGTGGTCACATGTATATGCACTTAATATTTTTTTTAACATTCTGGGCCAAACAAACAAGGTTCTTAAATAGTGAGTAGTAAAGTTATGATTTGAATGTGAACTCTGCAGCTCAACTTGTACTGTCAGTGATCCTGTGCTGTAGAATGGATAGCACTTGGTGTTGAATTTGGTGTGATGAGAAGGGGAATGGTGTAAAAAGAGGAAATGACCCTTGTCTTTCACTTGGAGATAGGTGGTTGGTGGAATCATACTAAGATAGGAAATTCAGGAATAAGAAAAAGTTTAGTGTGAAAAGAGTGAGATAATTCATTTAGTTTGGAACTTTGCGGGATTAAGGTGTTTGTGGACTGTTCTAGTGATTGTGTAGAAAGGTTTTGGATGCACAGTTTGGAGCACAGAAGAGATAGGTGAGTTAGAGGCAGAAATAGATAATGCAACTGTGTAAGTAGTAATAAAGCTTATCGGTCAAGGAGCTGGTCTAGGGAGGACGCTTAGTGTGCGGGATGGGACCCTTAAAGGGTGGAGAAGAGCAAGAGTGCCTGGGGAGATAAGTAGGCTGTGGCAAGGAATGCCTTAGGCCTGTGGGGAGATTACGGTCTCAAGTGGAGGTGAGCTGGGGTATGAAGAAAATGTGGACTGAAAGCATCCATTGAGTTGGCCCCAAGCAGGTCTCGCAACTGTGGTGTGGAGTTTAGGGCAGTGGATGGGCAGCTCCAAGTGAAGAGGAGAACGTGAGGGGTCTTAATACTTTTTTGTTGTATATTTAAACATTTTTTTTCTATTCTGCTTTTTAGATACAAAATAGATTTTATAGAAGAGAAGGCATCGCAGAATCCTGAGAGAATAGTCAAGCTGCACAGGTAAATAAGCTTCTAAAAATTGACTGAAATGCTAATTTAAAGTTTATCATTGTTGTTACCACGGTGAAGTGTATGACTAAACTAGATGTATTATTACTATTTTGTTTTCTTGTGCTTTATTCATTGTTTTGAGATAGCAGTAAAAGGAAACTTTAATTATCTTTAGGAATGGTTGTGCTTTCTGGTCTTCATTTTGCTATTGTTATTCAAGAGTTGAAAAATGATGTTTATAAATGAAATTTAATGAAATTAGGCAAGATAATCATTGTTACATGAATTGAACATGGTAGTAGTAGTTCTTCATGTGGGAATATGAACATTAATTGGTGATTACTTATGTTACATCCATTGAATTGGAATATGCTATGTGATCCATGGATAAGAAAGGTCCATTGCTTATGTCGATGTTCTTCTGTAGGAGCAAATCCAAGTACAGTGCCTTATATAAAAACAACTTTATGGCCAGGATTTATTTTCTCAGCTCTGTTTTCTTCACTTGGATATCAGTGTTTCTTTGAGAAACTGCGCTTTGTTTCAGGACACAACTGTCCTGTGTTCTGAATTCTGAGCTACTGTTAGTTTGTTGCAACATTGTAGGTTACCAGTGTTAGACAATTGGATGTGATCAGTAGCAGGATGTATTCCGTAACTATTCAAAACCTTTAAATTTACCTAAATGTTAATTAAGAGAAGGGGTCACTTGATTTTCAAAGTTTAGCCATTTTACTTGAGATTCTATGTCAAGGGTTGTTATAGTAGAATTGAATCATATAGATTGTTCTTGAGTAGGTTGTAGCAGCAAAGAGAGTGAGGAATTTCTGTTTTAACCAATTAAAAATACTTTGATGTTAAGGTTTTGTTTACCTTTTAAATCAAATCAGAATTGGTGACTTCATTGATATGAGTGAGGGTCCTCTTATTCCACGAACAAGCACTTGTTTCCAGTATGAAGTGTCAGCGGTGCACAATCTTCAACCCACTCAGCCATGTCTTGTAAGAAGATTCCAGGGTCTGTCACTACCTGTTCACCTAAGAGTAAGTAAAGCTTAAAGTTCTAGGTCTTGCAGTTTGGGAAGAGGTTGTTTGTAGATTTGGTTTTATACCAGTTTGAAGGATATAAATTTCAATTTTGCTTCAATTGTGTGCCACTAATATTTTGTAAACTACAGTTTATGATTAAAAACCATTTTGCCTAGGGTATAAAAGCTAATTTTGGAAAAGAAACACTTGTTAAAAACATAAAATCAATTTGAGATAGTATTTTTATTTTTTAGATTAGAATAAGAGTACACTGAGGGAACACTGGAATGCATGGTCAGACCTTTCTGGAGAACCTTGGACCTAACGTTTGGCATGTTCTTCCCCCTAATTGTAATGATATATTCATGACTCAAGGCCTATCCTTATTCCATATTGGATAAGTCCCAACCTTTTACCCTGTTTCACAAAGTCCTGCATTATCTGCCCTTCCTGCCATGGTTTCTGCTCCAGTTGCTCATTCTGGATAAGGAAATATGCCATATTGGTCTTCCTCTGAAAGGATTTGCACATAGATAGTAATTTTATCTTTTGTTGCAGATTGCCTGAGCTTATTCTGTGTGAAGTAGTCACTGGATCATCCGTGTGCCTCAGTATGGGCTTCAGTTGCTTAATAAAATTGATGTGGTCATTGTAACTTTACCATTTTCACTAATGCATTCTGATGATCCTCTGCTAAATAAGACTACTAAGAATTGAAGAAATCGGCTCTATAACTTCACTGTGATTTTAGCTCGCTCCTACTTATTCTTTCCTGCCAGTGTTAGAGTGAAGATGTCATAGGTAGATCTTAATGAACCTCTTGTGATTACTTAGGATTTAAAGAATAACCTGTAGTGCATTGAAATTGGCTATTTAGAGAAAGAATGACAGACTTTGGGAAAGTGATTTATTTTCAATTAGCAAGAATGTTTTTTATGCTACGCATGATGAAGAGGAATAAAAGAGGAAGAATGACGTATTTACCACTTGTCTTTTTTCCTTCAATGCCAGCAAAGCAGTTGCTCTATATACGCAGTACCTTTGTTCCCGACTGATTTTTATGATCACATTACAGTCACATTAGTGCTGTCTATCTTTTTATTTACTTGTTTTATTTAAAAAGTTATATAAAAGTTGTAACTTTTCTACAACAAATCTTTTCTATACAGGCACATTTTACCTTATGGGATAAGCTATTAGAAAGATCTCGGAAAATGGTAAGTATTTTTTTCTTTCCATGAAGAAATTTTCATCAAAATTAAGCCACAACAACCGAGGCAGTGAAGCGGGGCAGTATCTTGATAGTCAAGTTAGTTGTGATTGTTTATCCCAGAGCTATTTTGGCAAGAGTGAAGTTGTAATTCGGTAATTCTTTTTTGATCTTGCTAATAGCATGGAATGACATTGTAGAACTTGAATGGAAATGAGAAGATTACTAATAGTAATAGATTACAGTAGTTGTATTGGCATTAAGTCATGACAATTTTTTAATAAACAATGTATACTTGAAAATTTATAATTTGTCAGATATTTTAAAGTTACCTTTGTTAATTATGTAAATACTCCAAAAAACCAGATTTGAATATATATTTTGTTTATAGTGTTTTTTTTTTCACAAATGGGACTGATTGTATTTCTTGACTACAGCCTCGTGAAGTCATAGGTTAAGTGTTCTTTTCCTTCCTTTTTCAGATAGCTGTCCTGTATAATCTGACCTAGTATGTTCTTCCTTCTTACCCTAATTTCCCATAACTTTACAAATACTAATCAAGCTTCTGATTATTATTGTTATAGTAATTACTGTTGAAGGAAAGAAACAGAGTGTGGTCATAAGAGGGATGTGGGAGGAATTAAGTCGGTGGCTAAAGGGCAAAATTGAAAGTATTTATTAGAGAAATAAAGCTGTTCTGTTTTTATAGGTATCTGAAGATCAAACTAAACCAACAGAGGAAAGTGCATCTACCTGAAGACTTTTTAAAATTTAAATATGTACAGTAAATTAAAATAAAAGATTTTAATATATCTGTGTGTCCTTACAGAAATTAACTGTTTTTGTCCCGAAGACTGATAGTGGGCTTTGCTTTTTCCTTTCTGCAAAAGGTAAAAAAATTTATGTTGCTCACAATAAAAATTTCACATGGAAACAACTCTTCCTTTCCTGCTCCACAGTTGCAGTACTTGGGCATGTTATTTTTTTCCTATGTGTATAGCCGTACATGGACATATACAGATACGGTTTTAAAAAATAAATAAAATCATACAATATTTGCTATTTACATTTTTCACTATTTAGAACAGTAGTGCAGTAAACATCTTTCTGCAAAATGACAAGTGTTTGTAAATAGAGACTGGTATTATCCAAGTAATTAGCATGTGCTGGGTTTTATAGTGAGTCCTCCATGAGGAGTTTTTTATTTAATTCTCAAAACAACTTGTTGAGATGTTTCTGTTTCGTGAAGGAGGAAACAAAACATAGAGTTTGAAAGTGGCAAAGCTGGAATTTGAACCCAAGCAGTTTCACCAACATCTCTTATATGCTAGTATATATTGCATTACATATAAATAATCTTGTATGTATAGATTGCAGGTCGTGGATTAGCTTAGGCTGCCAGATACTGGTCTCCAGACGTTTTGCCAAATGATGGTCCTGGCAGCAGTGTTTATGAGTGCCTATTTACCCACACATTTTTTAAGGGTCCTAGCAGAACATCCAGGAGTAACTCCAAAAGAAAGTACAGTTTATTGAACCAAGTTTTTATGGTGGGTTAGTGGGATCGGCTTAGGTGGGGGCTGAGGTGAAGGGGAGCAGAAGATTGGGGAAGTGAGAGTAGCACATTTAGATCTTATTTACTGTTTCGGTTTCTCACACCAGGAAGACAGATGATGTTTACACATGTAAACCTCATGGTCTCAAGTTGCAGCCATTTACCTGTAAAAGTTTTGTGTTTACCCTTCTTTATGGTTGAATAGTACTTCATTATATAAAAATACCACATCTTTTTAATCCATTCCTCAGTCGATGTTGCCCACACTTTTGACCAAACTTTGTGAGTTTTTAAAAATATTTTACTAAGGTATTTCTTTCTGTTCTAGGCTTTCTGGAACTGGCACAGACTTCCCCTGAATCTCTTTATTTTGCCCTGGTTGAGATTTGCTGTATTTCCTAGAGTCTGTATTTCCTTCTGTCTTCATGAACAGTCTCATTTGTTGGGGTTCATCTTGAATATCCTTCCCAAGAGATAATGTCTAAAGGCGAGTCCTTGCTTATTTATTTGGTACTGAGGATCAAACTCACAGTCTTGCACCTCAGGGCAGGTGCTTACATCACTGAGCTAAATCCCCAGCCCTTGCCCTTTCATATTTAAACCTTTTTTCTTTGCATTTGATCAACTCTTTGACTTGATAACAAATTTCTAGGTTGAAAAATAACTGTAAGGACTTTGAAAGGGGCTCAGTTATTTTCTGTTGTCTGATACTGCTAAAAAATCTGGAAGCTCTGCACCACTGCCCTCTGGACACCTTTTGGACCAAATTATTTTCAGTGTTGTCAGTTTGTAAGAGTCCAAATCTCTAGATGTCTTCAGTCAATCATTCTGCTTGGCATTTAGGAGTCTTCAGTTTTTAGCATCTTTAGGTACAGGAAATTTTTATTTTACTTTCCCTGGTGGTTAATGTGGAGTGTCAACTTCACCTAGGCGGCTGGTGGAGCACACTTCTAGGTGTGCTGGGTGAGTTTTGGGTATAGTCTTGGGAGGTCTGTGTCTGGTACCTTGCCTTCTTTATAACATTGTTTCTCTGCTTCTGGCCACGCCACCATGCCTTAAGTAGAGGAACTTTGCTTAAATGATGGCCAGCTTTACTCTGCCATGCCTTTCTGCCATGTTTCTGCCTTGCAGCCTATTAACCACAGACTCATGCTCTGAAGCTGTGAGCTAAATTAAATCTTTTAAGTTATGATTATTGTGCATTGTGTCCTTGCAGTGGGAAAGCTTACCTAGTAGAGAAAGTATCAGAAGTGGGATTCTCACTGACTGTACCTGACCATGTGGTTTAGAAGCCTTTGAAATTGGTTTGCAGGAAGAGTTTGGAAAGATTTGGAGATGGAGCCTAATTTGCCTTAGAATGCTGTGAGCAGAACCTAATGGGTGATTCATACAGAGTACTGACAGTATATGCAGGAATGCAGACATTGAAGGCCAGACCCAGGAGGATTCAGTTCAGAACAAGGACTCCATTCACAGTTGAATTATAGGCATTATACTCTGGCAGAAAATATTCCTACATTTTTCCCATGTCCTGAGATTTTGCAGGAGACTAAGGTTAAAGGTACTGGATTAATTGATCTGGTGGAAGAAATTTCAAAGCAGCCCAGTGTTCTGACTGTGCCATTGTTGGCTGCTTTTAGCCAGACTTACAGTGAAAATGGGGGCAAACAGCAGACCAGAATAATTAGGAAACCTTTTCTAAGAGGAACCATGTGTACAGTTAGTACCAAAGGAAGTATGGATGCTGAAGAGATTACTGTTATTAAGAAAACACTTAAGTATTTTATACAGGGACAAGAAGAGAGGTACCTTCAGGGCATCTCAGAAAGCAGCAAGACTGCATCCATCAGGGCCTCAGCAGTACAAAAATAACAACCTTTCATTTAAGAAGATGGTTTCTAGAACCTTTGGTCAAGAAAGGTATGCTAGGAAATTGTTTCCACAGGATTCATTTCATTGTCCTATGTAATCACTCTAAAGACCACTTCAGTCGTGGTCCAAGGTACCTGGCTTCTGCTTCTAACACTTCGGGGTTGTCTGTACAATGCTGGTTTTACTGGCATGTACAATGCAAAAGTTGCAGTGTATTAATTTAGACAAACTGCATAATACCCACGATTTAATGGGCAATCTGTGGGAAGATGTGACCTCCAGAGGGCTTGCGTGGCCCTGCCCCTCTGGCAGTGGTTGTAGCTCTCATGGCTTTTCTCTTGGACCAGCTTTGCTCACTTCTTGTAGCATTCTTCAGATGGTCCACATTTCAGGGTTTTCCACAATTGTGGGGTCTCCACTGTACTTTTAGCTTCATCCTCACAGCATCATGCATTGCCCTCTCAGAGGCACACTGCCTGGCTTCCTAGGCCTTCTGAAATCTAGGTGGAAACCTTCACATCGCTTACATTCTGCATGCGAGTAAAACTGTGTGGATGATGCCAAGGTCTGCTGCCAGTTAGAGCCATATCCAGGCTTCCTGCTGTTTGGCTATGCAGGTCTCTGAGTGCAGGCATGGTTGAGTGCTATTACCTGAATCCTGAGGAACAAATTCCCCAGCAGGCTGCCATTCTGGAACATGGTATCTTGGTGCTAGCTTCTCAAAGACCTTCAAAAGATGGAGTTCTCCTGCCTGTGATGCCCTCAGGTCATTTTTGTTATTGTCCTGTTCCAAAGTACTTGGTTTCCTTTTAATGCTCATCTTTTTAGTACCCATGCTTTCTGCTCCATCTCTGTAGGCCCTAAATTTACCAGGAGTTCCTTTGTGGTCAAATGCAAAATTTTTAAAATCTGCTAAGCCATTTGCTCTTGAATAACAAATTAGAGCTGGCTAAAATAGTAGTCAGCCATACTTGACATTGATGGCCTTAAAATTTCTTCCACCAGGTTGGTCCACTGCCCTTAATTTCAGTCTCCTGCCAGAGACAGCATACATGGCCTAGTGTCCAGCTGCCAGTGGTGTCCTCAACTAAAACCTCTTGTGCTTGGCTTTTTGCTCTATTGTGATCAATATTCTCGTCTTCTGAGCTCTAACCAAAAACTCCCATCAAGCTTAGCTCATTGCATTTTAGGGCTGCTTCTCCAGTCGGTGACTAAGCCTTTCCAAACTCTTTCTTGCAAGCCAGTTCCAAAAGCTAAACTACATGGCCAGGTGGCATCACAGCAGTGAACGCATTCTGTTTTTCATTAATGGCTGTATTAATTTACATTCCACCAAGGATGTAAAGGTCCCCTTTTCTACACATCTTCCTCAGCGTTTGTTATCTTTACAGTTTTTGAAAATGCTTAGTTGGCCATAGTGACCGGAATGGGGTGTTATCTCAGTATATGTTTTGTATTTTCCCAAAGGTTGATAATATTGAAGATTTTTTCATATACTTGCCCACTTTCATATCTTCTTTTGAAAAATACCTATTTAAGTCTGTTGCCTATTTTTGATTGGCTTATTTGTATTTTTGGTATTGAGTTTCTGAAATTCCTTATATACTGAATATCAACCATTTGTCAAACATATAGTTAAAAAATACTTTCATTCATTCTGTAGGTTGTCTGATCACTCTGTTGCTTGTTTGAACAAAACTTTTTAGTTTGATATAATCCCATTTGTCTTTATTTCTATTTCTTATATTTTTGGGGTCTTATTCAAAAAAAACCTTACCTTTTCCAATATCCTCACTCGGTTTAACTATGTTTTCTTCTAGTAGTTTCATTTCTTACATTGGAGGCTTTAATACATTGTTTTTTGAGACAAGGTCTTCCTATGTGAACTCCCTATGTGGCCCAAGTTGGCCTTTAACTTATGATGATCCTTCTGCCTCTGCATCCTAAGTGCTGAGGTAAAGCTGATTTTTGTAGCTGTGGTTCCAGAAAGATTGGCCATCATTGGGCTAGATCTTCCAGTAGTATGTTGAATAAAAGTGTAAATGGGCATCCTTCTCTTTTGTTCCAAATCTTAGAAAACTTTGCAGGTTTTCCCCATCAGTTTGACATTACTACCTTAGTTTATTATAAGGAAATGGACTTTATTATGTTGAAATATGTTCCACACATGTAAAAATTTATAAATATATATAAATATGTTAATTTATAAATATATAATTTTATTCAGAGATTTTGTCACAAAGGAATATTGAGTATCATCCAATACATATTCTGCAGCTGTTGAGAACATATAGTTCTTGTCTTTCACTCCATTAATATGTTTATTGATTTTTTTTATGTTGAACTGTCCTTATATTCTTGGGATAAATCCCATTCAGTCATGGT